CGCTCCCTCGAGGCGGGGTCGGCGCGGTATGTTGGGTGAGTCAGTCAAAGGGGAGCCGGAGGACGGATGGTGGGATGTTTGGGTGGGGGTTCTTTTTTGTTGTGTTGGGGGGGGGGGGAGTGGGGGCAGGGGCTTGTTTGCGAAAATGAAACTAGCCAGTTTTGTCAGTGGTACCTTTATCCCTTCAATCGCTAAACATGGTCAAAGGGGCCAAGTTTGGTGGAGTCGAACAGGCTGCGTTGTTGCTGTTGTTGTTTTTTCCTGTGAGACGACAAGTCGGTGTTGAACACGAAGCTGGAAGAGGGAGGGCAGGTTCAAAGTCAAAGACACAGCGCTTCAATGAAGTGGATTGCTTTGCGGGGATCACGTGTGTCTTTCTTTCCGGCTTCTTTTTGAAGTTAGTTATTTGAACCTAGGCCTCAAACAGAACACATTCTAAAAGGTTGTCGAACTTCTTTTGGGGATGGCTTCCCTTTAAACCATCACTTTGAGTATGGGGATGGCTTCCCTTCAAACGATCACTTTGAGGATGCTTTGGGGGTGGCTTCCCTTTCAACCATCATGACGGTCATTTTGAGCATGTGAGCTTGTCTCTTTAAAAAAAGAGTACACGCTTTTTTTGGGGGGTCTGGGACACCACTGCTTTTGGCTAGGAAACACACGTTTTTGGCTAAACCAAAGGACACCACTTCTTGTAGGGGTCTCAAAGTGTTGAGGATGTCTGGGCCTCCCAGGAGTGTTTTTTCTCACCTCTTTGGAGGGCGGCCAACCCCATTGATCCCGGTGGCTGCAAGCCACATGGGCGAGTCCCCCTTTTTTTTAAAGGGGGGTGCACTTTTTTGTGGTTTTGAAGGGACACAAACAGGAAAACCACCTGTTTTTTTTTGTTGAGGGGGGGTCCTCGAAAACAGACACACTCTCATGTCAAAATAGGACGACCCTAAAAACTTGGCAAACATGTTTTCCTGGTGGCTTCCCTTTCTTTTCGGCCTGAAAAAGGGGTACCAACTCAAAAATAGAGTCACGCACGCCCATGTGTGGGGTGTGAGGAAACCCTGTTCTAGGATTGGCTTAATGGGCAACAAAAAGGTAACCACCCTTTTGGGGGTCCAAATCCCTACTGTGACGGACGCATACCCACACTCGTCCAACTCGAGACCCACAGTTTCCTGATTTAGTTCATGCTGTGGATGGACGAAATCCTGCACCACCTAAGAAACCCTGTAAACACAAACAAGCACTGGTTTCTCATGGTTTCAATCTGGTGCATGATTTCGTCCATCCACAGTTGTTAGCCAAGGTTCCAAAGTCTTAATCTCTTATTTGCAGGTCCCCCCAAAAACCGTGAGGGGTACCCTCAAAAATACACTCACCAACAGGAAATCCTCCTTTTCCCTTTTTGGAACCTGCAACAGTGGCGACCGTTTCGATGCAATCCACCAGGAAGTTGTATCTTTTGAAGGAGAAGTCCATTGACTCAGTGACCCCTGACAAAGTGTCTTTTTTGGGGGACCTTCCAAATGGCATTTTGTTTGTTTCCCTTGAACACCAACCAAACACTGAAAAAGGACGAACTTCCCAGCTGGCGCGTTAACGCACGCGAAGAGGTCCCCGCTTCCTCGGTTACCTGGTCCGCCGATGTCGCCAGGTGGGGGTCGAGTCAGCGGATGGGGGGAGGTAGCAACTTGCCTCGCTCAAAGAGTTCCTGGACTTTGACAACCATTCTAGCTAAACTGTTCAAAGGCAATCCTTAATCCTTGCCTTTGGTTACGAAAGTGGCTCCGGTTGTAGTGGTTTCTCAGTAGGGATCATGGATTGGGATTGGCCAACACTCCATTTTGAACAGCCCAGTCTAGTAGCAAGTGGAAAAAAATGACTCTTGTCTGGCCAATCCACGCAGGAAGTGAGAAAAACAATCAACATGGCCACTCCACCCAGGAAGTGAGAAGCAAAAACACACTTCCACGAATTTGGAACCCACAACGTGCTGGAGGGATGGAGTGTTCCATGTTAGAGGACCTGAGGGTAGGTGATGATAGTCGCAGTCTGTGAGTGGTTGGACTCAAGTTGGACTTTGGGGCTGGACGATTGTGGAAAATGAAAAAATAATGGTTGCTTTGTTTCGCCAGTCCGCGAAAGTGGGCAGTGATTAGGGGACTACTGGCCCAGTTGCCCCAATAATGGTTACAGCCTAGCCACCAAGTTGCTTGAACACCCAAGCAACATTTGCAACCAGAAGGGTAGACTAAATGGGGAGAGTCGAAGCACAATTGTTTAGTGTACCCCTGAGTTGCTCCAAGATGGAACTCAAAACATGTCTCGGTTTCCTTAGGGGTCCCCGTGCCTTTGAAGGGGGTTTCATGTCAGCCAGAGGACTTGGAAGCTATCTTGAGTGGACCGCCTGAGACATCATATTCCAGAGATACTTAGGGCTGATTAAAGCCCCTACCCCCGGTTCTGCCAACAGGAATCCTACATGTTGAGGGGCTCTTCCTTGCATTGATTCCAAGCAGTGAGTCTCAACAAGAAGAGCCTGCAGTGCTTTCAATGGGGGTACTCCAGTTTAGAGGGATACTCCAATTCCTGGCCTCCTGGCCTACGCATTCGTTGGTTGAATCCAAAAATGGGATCCCGTTGGTTTTGACCCGCCAAATGCCGTTTGAATCGGATTTGGCTCAAGGCAGGAGCTCAGGCTAAGGCCCCAGGACGTAGTGGGAGCTTCCGGCGATGCGGGGAGCTCAGAGCGGGCGGCTCCCAAAACCAGACACTCACCTCAAGGGTTGAAGCCTTGTTTTTGTTTTCTTCTTCTTTTTTTGTCCCTTTCTTTTTTTCCCCGTTTTTTCTTTCGAAAAGGGGTTATATAGGTGAAACAGAAGCCAACAGTTATCAAAAAGGGTGGGACAGTGGCCAAGACCTGAAGGGACTCACCTCAACGTTCGGGCACGTCCCCCAATACTGCCCTTTCTCACCCAACTGTTTTGGTTGGGAGGGTTCCACTGCTGAAATAAACTACAGAAAAAAGTCGGTACCCTTCTTCTGACCTCTCTGCTGTTCCCTGTCTATAGGACCGGGTTTATCAATCCGAAGTTCCCATGACCAAGCGTTGCAATCTGTCGGCCTACAGGCAAGGAAGCATCGGGTTCCTATCGTTATCAACTTTCAACCTACCGGGTCTAGTTCCCATGGTTCCTGGCCTGTTGGCTCCAAAAACGATCGATCCGTTTTCCGTAGCACGGCCCCAGGGGCCGTGCTTTGGGACGAGACATCTTCTGTTCCCAGCCCTCCGCGTCAGGACGCGGTTTGAGCTCTTTTACGCAGCCCAGCGCTTCCAGTTCGCACTGGGTACTTTCTTTGGCCAATCCACTTGATCGGGAGTTAGTATGGGTGAGACCCGCCGCTGCTTGAGATCCCTTTCTGAAACATGTAACATGGAACGAGGGAATGACCCTTGGAAACATTAGTGTTGCCCCCGGATTAATAAACCCCTGGTTGATTTTGATACGGGGGTGTCCCATTCCGTTGAGTGGTTGGATTCAGACCACTCTTGGAGGGGTTTCCACCCCCCGAGTGGGACGGGTTAAAACAAATCGTGGGTCAACATTACTCGACACATATTGTCCCTTTATGGGGTGTTAGTCTTTGGGAAGCCCTTTTGTTGTATCACAGAAGTGGATTCCATTTCCCACAGCCCTGCTTAGAACCATTATCCACCTTGTGGTTTAACCTTTAAGGGGACTCCTGATTCCTGGGTTAAGTTTCCTTCATCCCCACCCGGACTCGGTCGAGCCAGCTCGACCAAAACAACCAAAAATGCGACCTGGAGTCTCCTTCTGACCCTTGAACAATGGGTCAATGACCAACCATTTTTTGGTTAATGTTAGATAGCGATTAATAAAAGGGGAGTGAATACAGAAAAAGTCTCAAAATTATTCACTCTCCTGAAAAGCAAAAAGGGTAGGTATTACAGAATAGGTTTTTTTAAGAATGGACTATTTTTGAGGGTTCAAACGTTTGAGTCCAGCCAGAAATGTCCAGAATTTCTGGATTGCTTCCTGTCCCAAACCACCAAATTCCTTATCAATCCCTTTACTTGAAGATGCACCCTGACAAATTTTCACGGGGGTGGCACACGGAACCCCCAGGAAGGCAATAATGCAGTTTGTTTATGCAGTTTGTTGGAATTGTGAAAAACAAATGGCCAGGGCAGCCTGCCAAGAAGAAAGCCCTGCTGTTCTCAGGTAAAGCCAGAAATGTCCAGAATCTCTGGATTGCTTCCTGCCCCAAACCACCAAATTCCTTATCAATCCCTTTACTAGAAGATGCACCCTGACAAATTTTCAAGGGGGTGGCACACGGAACCCCCAGGAAGGCAACAATGCAGTTTGTTTAAGGGTAGGGAATTGTGAAAAAAAATGGCCAGGGCAGCCTGCCAAGAAGAAGAACCAACTACTAAACCAATTCTAAACTGTAATGAGTCAACTGAAAAGAATACTGAACTAACACTAAACCAATTCTAAACCGTAGTGAGCCAGCTCAAAGGAATACTAAACCAATACTAAACCAATTCTAAACAATACTTACTGGAAAACTACTCAGGCAGGTCCCAGTCTGACCCCCATTTTGTTTTTGGGGTTTTCGCTATTGACCCCCCCCAATTCGTTTGAGGGGGGGCGGGGGGGGCCCTATATTAATCACTCTCCAACATTAATGACCAGCCATTTGTTTAAGGGTCATGAGGGAGACTCCAGGTGCCCGTTACCCCTGGTGAACATCAAAATAGGTGGCAAATGGATGTTCATCCACCCCAAAATAGCTCTCGCCATAGGTTATGCAACCCATGGCCACATCACCCTCCGTTTCCGCCGAAGGAAGCCCGAGCTTGCCAGCCCCAAGCTCGCAAGTCAGCCCCGAGGTCCTCGAGCCTCAGCGGGCTGAACCGCTCCCAGCGCGAGAAGCTCGCCAACTTCCAACAGGTCACCGGGGCGCCCCAGCGGCTTGCCATGGCGCCTCGGCGGATCCGTCGGCGAGTCGGCGGATCGGTCGCTTTGGGAGAGCAGAGGTGTCCTATAGGGTGGACGAAATCCATTTCGCACCACGAAATGAAACCATGGTTGAAACCATTGTTTTTGTGTACAGGGAAATCATCACTCAAGGGTTTCTCAGATACAGTATTTCTGGTTCCTGGTTTACCTGGTGGTTTCATCATCTACCTTGGTGGCTCCCAGCCATCCCCTTAGCCTTTTAGCCTTTTAGTGTTAAATGGTTATTTTCATTTAACCCACTAAAAGTTAAACTTTTAGCGGGGGATCTAAGGGCAGCCCAGCTACCAGGGCCATCTATTTTCCCTAAAATGACACCTATGTGTGTGAGTCGACGCGATGTGAGGCGACGCGAGCGGCGGGTCGCGGAGCGAGCGAGTTCCTGGCACCCATGTTTGGTTTAGTTCGTTGTTTATTGGTTTGCTCATTTTTTAGTGGCAGGCTGCAAACAAAGGTTGTTTGACGTGCCGAATCGTGGTTTTCGTTCGCCAGTTTGCAGGAAGGCGACATTGCAAAATTGGGGTTCTTTCACATATTAAAACATCCGTTGTACCTTTCCTGGGGTTGCTTTCCTTTTGCTTTCCGGCTAAACAAACGGCATCCAACAACTTCACAGCTCTTGGCAAGGTTTTTTGTGGGTTCTGTTCTTTTTTTGATTCGGGGGCTGCAAAAACGAGTCAGTTTTGTGCTGGCCCATACCGTTTGGGTTGTGAAGACAAGGGGAAGAAAGTGATTTACTTGGAGACAAAAACATGTTCAGCCCTGTGGTACCCTGGTAGGAAAATGTTTGCAACTTGAACTCACTCCCTGAGCTCCTGGGCTAACGTTTTGGGTACCTGGACCCTTTACCCATCAAAATGTGTCATTGCCCTAAAATGATGAGGTGAGTCCCCATTTGTTTTGTGAATAGTTTGAAGGTCGAAGTAGACCATTTTTGTGATACACCAAGCGTTTGCTTACCGTTTTCTGACCAATCCATACGATCGGAAGTGAGTTAACGTCTAGAAACAGTAGTGTGCGGCTGTTGCAAGCCCTTGGGGCTTTTGAGTGGATCAAGTTCTGCTTGTTCTATGGGGTGATTCCGTTTCCATTCTTTCCAACCATCGTTCTTTTCGAAAACCGGATCCGTTTTCCCTGGGTTTCCGGAGGTTTTCTAGAAAGAAGGATCCCTGAAAAGAATGGGGAAGGTAGCAGTAGACTTGTGATTCCTCTTGGAAGTGGCCTTAAAAACTAAACCAAACTCCCTGAGTTCCTTTTGTTGGCCAGTGACTTAAACAATTATCGTGGCTGTTTAAGCTAGAACGGTTGTCCCAACAAAGGCACCCGTTGACATGTCTAAAAAGTTCCCAACATGTTTGTCGTGTATTTTGTGGTCCGTGGGGCCAGTGAGCACAGAGGCTTGGGCCAATACAAAGCCCTGGCCTTGGATGGTGACCCTTCGTTTGTACAGGGCTCCTTAAAAGATACATTTTGCCCATTTGAAACATGGCTTTTTCCAACAAACAAAAGGAGCACCACCATTTACAAGGCAATGTTCAGGTGTATAGTGTAAGGATCCCTATTCATACACCCCTCCTAATTGAGAATGCGAAGGCGCTCTCTTGTTTTGTTTTTGTTGTTCCTCAGAAGGGAGAGCCATACAAACAATTGCCGGTGGCCTTAATCGGGGTCCACTTCAGAGAATATGGTTTTTGACAGGCTAGGTGTGGCAGTTCAGACACACGCCGTGGGATTCAACCTTCTTCGGGTAAGAAATAAGGTCATTTCAGCACGTCTACAAGGCTACAAGGGAACGAGTGGACTAATCGGTGTTTTCTGTTGCAGAGCTATGATTGCTGCTTATTCAGCGGGTTGACGGTTGCACACCCAAGTGAGCGGCGCCTTTTTTTCCCCCCCAGAGCCCGGAGCCCCCTTTCAGACTTTTGGACTGGATTTCAAAGTGTTCTCCCGACTGGATGTCAAAAACTTT